AGAAGATTTACAGTAATTGTGGCTGGTGATGACTGATAAAAACTATAGTCTGACAGATTATTAATACTTGTTGCTAATCCAATTCCAGCAAAGATCCTGTGTAAAATGTAAATGAAAATGCAATTTAACAATGCCTGTAATCTTAGGTCCTTCAGGCAGCGCTTCATTAAAAGCAGGGATCATTCGTTCATGGAAAACACTTCATGAGCTCAGAAATATTTGAACTTTGACATCTTTCTCTGTGAACAGAGTTCTCCATCCACAAATGCGAGTTAAAGCTGTATGAATCAGAGACGAATCCACACTTCAATTCAATTTAATGCAATGTTAGGGCCAAATCACACCACTCATGCGTTTTCTACATTCTATTGTAAATACAATTTGGGTATGTTAGATTTACAGATTATTTATTTGTTTTATCATAAAATTAAAAGTAATTTTATTGATATTTTTTATTTAAAAGTAACATTTTAAAAATAGCCCTAAAAACTAAGTCAGACAGAAAAAGAGTTTAATTCTGAATCACAAAACCAAAAACTTCTAAATCTGAATTATGACAGATGATTCAAAGTGGACTTAAAACACTACATGTATAAAGGCTAATTTACGCCATTGAGCCCTGCCCTCAAAAACTGACATGGATGCAATTCTGTCTGTGAACCTGGATTTAAGACATAACAGTTTTTCTGTCAAAAAACAAGGATGTAGTGTCTACTTTCACTCTCTTATTTTCCCCTGAGTTATTGGTTCTGCTATTAGCTATCATAAACAAATGTAGACCTATTGACCACAGCCGACCAACGAACATGGTGACGTTACATTCTGCACTGACAGAAGATGGTGCCGAACATGTTCTAAAAACTTCAAGTTTAAGGACTTATTTCTTAAATCCATTTACGCAGACAGTGTTACAAGGCTCCATGATGTAAATTAGCTTATAAGTGTTTCATGTGTACTTTAATCGCATGCTTAAATGCAAACCCGGAGAGAACTAAGAAAACGTGTGTGTGTGTGTGAGAGAGAGATTAACACAAAAGGAGGAGGGAAAAGTTTTCTTCTTTTCTAAGTAGTACAGAAATTTAAATAAGCAATGCGTGGCACAAATGAGGACAGTGCTATCTATTACCTTTATAATAGCTTTTTTATATATAGCTTATATATAAAAGTGTCTTGAGCCAACTGTTGTTGGGATTTAGCACTATATGAATAAAATAGAATTGAGTAGAACTGAATCTACTTATTGTGTAGCTCAGAGGAAACAAACAGGGTTGAAATCAAACTTGAAACTTGAAGTTGTTAAATTTTTCTTGGATACTTACCAAACAGCTGTGAATGACCATCTGCAAAGTGGAACATAAAATAAATATGTTAAACCAGGGACTGGTTTGCATTAGGAAGCGTGTTTCAAAGAGAACGGAAATATGTGAAAGTTCAACTTGGATCTGTTCTCTAATCATTTATGTCTCGGCACTTTCAGAATTGCTGATGTGAACATTTTGGTGAAAGGTTCAGATTATAGTGATGTGGAATTTGTCAACACATTTTGGTTTCTTACTGACCAAACAGCAAGAGGAAACAAATCTAAACATTTAGTGAAAAAGGAGTTTTATGATTTACACCACCTGACTGTGTACACTAAGTTTAAAACATGTAGTACTATAATGACCAGTTTCAACATTGTAACAATATTATAGCTGCAGTGAACATTAGTAACCATTGAGAAAGTTTTATAAGCACCAGGGACAACTTTACAGTTATGATCCAGATAATTTCACTGGCCAACAAACCTGTTATTAACCAGTTTAGTAGATATTGTTAAAGGTAAACTAAAACATCCTCGTTATTGTTACTATTGATTAATAAAGTGTTATTGAATTCAGCACTGCCAGTCACAAGGTAGTTGCTTTTTACTGACTTTCTATTTGTCAGTATAAAAACACTATTACTTGTTTTATTTTGTTTTTTTTAAGTAATATGTATTACTTTTTTCCCTTGGCCTTTAAATCACAATGAGCTTGTACCGCTTTTATTTGTCTTATTTCCTACTCAAATCTTCTCATTTAATGCTTATTTTTCTTAATTTTTCAAATTTCAATGTTTTTTTTAAAATCATGTCTTCCTTCCTCTTTTTGTTATCTTAAATGTACTGCACCTTGGTCAATAGTTGTTTTAAATGTGCTATATAAATAAATTTGACTTTAACTTAGACTACGTAAAAGAAAATTAATGCATTGTAATAATAATGTATTTAATTCTTTGACCTGGTCAGGTGGATTTAAATGAGAGTTCCTTCTTTGATCCATTTTGACTCACATTCCCATGTTGTGTCAGCCTACAAGCAGGTTCACAAGTTTGTTTGTATCCAAATAACACATTTTTATCTGCAATAGTCTTTAAAGAGGTGCAGTTGAACTTGTAATAAACGACACAATGAGAAAATATTAAATAAAAATAAAACTTCTTTCTCACCTTTGCATAAAAGAATAGTTACCACAGAGAAACAGGAGACAAACAGTTGGAGAGCCATTTCTAACCACACCTGATTTAATTTGACTTATTAAATTCAAATAACCACATGCCAAGCTCCACCCACTGTCATATGCTGTGGGAGTGTCTGGTCGGGTGTGGTCCAGGTTCCTGTTGTCCGTCCCCTGGGGTGGAGTTGGCCAGCTCATCACCTGCTTCCAATTTCCGGGGCTCCATCTAGAGGGTTTTTAAGCCAGCACTGCCTGCCACTCCTCGCCAGTTCGTCCTGCTACCACCCGTGGTAAACTTGGCCTCCTCTGTGCTCACACTGTGGGTGATGTGTCTAATGTCTCCGTCGCACTCAGATGCTCTTACGTAGTGCTACAGTCTGCCTAGCCCTAGTTCTTCCAACTGTATGCAAGCCCCTACACCTGGAACGTCCCACGTCCCCAATCCCAAGGAACTCTCACAACCAAAGCCCTTGAATAGCACAAGTAAGTAGAAGCTCCCCCTTTACTTTTTCCGATAATTTTCGGTAGACCCAGTGTTACGTTCTCTTTGTATTTCGACTGAGTCTTGTCTAACTGTAATATGACTCCAGCAAAAGTACGCACCAGACCACATGATGTGGGATCAGTAGAACGTCTGATGACTTTTAAGGTAGGAGCTGTTATTGACAGTGGATATTGGAAATTGACACAGTGGCATGCGGTGAATTTTCCCAGTACACGCGCAAACACAGAGCTGAAAATAACAAGTGGTGGAAGCATTTTCAAACCATCCCCTTTAGAAAAGAAACAATAAAACACTACGAAAACACCTCAGCACGCGTAAAACTATTATTGGACTAATGTGCATAAAATATTAACAGCAAACATCAGTTGAATTAAAAAAGTTGAACATTGTGTAATATGGTTAACTGTCAGTATCTATAGGATATTCAAATATAAGTGAAAAATGTAGGGGAAGTGTTGGCAGAACACAAAAACATACACCGTCTTTATATTTTTTTCTTGTTTGCAATTTGTCTCCCCGCAGCTATGTAAATATGTAAATACGCTAACAGAAAAGTGAGATGAGCCGTATGGAAATAATAAAGGAGGATCCAATCGCAGGCAGTAGTGAAGGTGTGAAGGTGGTTTATTGAACACAAAAATAAGAATGGGCAAACGGAGAACTAAACTATACTGGGACAACTAAACTACTGAACCTGAACAAGAACACGAACCTGAACATGAAGGAAGACGGAAGATGGTATATGACGGTGACAGCAGGGAGAACACACGAAAGGAACATGGTAGATACACAGACGGACCAGCAACTACAAAGACAGAAGACACGACTTAAAAAAAATGACACATGGAACTAGACCTATACTAAGCAGACACGACCGAAGAACAAATCCTTAAACAAGAACAAACAGACACAAAGAATTCTAATAACAATAATAATAATAGCACCCGAAAACACAACGATCATACAAAAATCAAAATCAAACTACTGGGTCGAACCGACCCAGAACCGTGACAAAATCACATTTTTAAACACATTCAATTTCCACCTATTACAAGGTTAATGTATAAGGGTTCATGGTTAATCACACAGTCATATCATGTGGTAAGTAAAATAATTAAAATTTACTTGCTCATTTGGAAATTAGGCCAACCCTGTCATGACTGCTGGATAGTGTAATGAAAAGACTACACACCTTCGTCGCAAGTTCGATTCCCGCCCGGTATCCAATAAGGGTCCTGGCTTGACCCCCCCATGCTAAAAGCCGAACTCTGGAACGGTGTGGCTACGTGTGCAGCTTGGACACAAGCATTTCACTACATGTTGTACAGTGTACTACAATGTACACTGTATGACTGTGTATGTGACAATAAAGTTTGCCTGTTGCTGTTCAGTTTGAATTCTTGTTTATCATTAGCCTCTCCTTTTGTTTAATATATAGATTTCATTGTGATGTATTCTGCAGTATCAGTTCTTATTATACTTTGTTACTAGTTACCAGTTGTGTTTATAGAGTTTAATTAGCATTAACAGAGCTCCCCCCATCTCATCCTTCTGTCTTCCCCTCTGCTAAGTTCACTTATGTCCTGTCTGTCTCTTTTTCAGTGCGGTTGTTATTCATTCCCCGATTTACATGGGTAGACATTTGTTTCCTGTCTTTTGCATTTAATTTTACTTCTCCTTCTGTCCCATTGTTGTTGTCTCCATGATTACTGTTTTTTGTATGAATAATGACGTCTTTCCCTCAGTCCTTGCCTCAGTATCCTGTTTATTTTCCTGTCTCGTCCTCTTTGCGTTCTTCAGGCTCTTTTGGGTAATTTCCATCTGTTCATACAGTTTGTTATTTTGCTTTTAGTAACTTGGCAACAGTCAAAAGCCTCTACATTTTCCACAGTCTTTAATCCCTGCATATAGTGACAAATCGAGATATTCCTCAGAGGTGTATTTGTAAGCATATATCATGTACTTCATTATTTTTGCACCGCTACTAGCAATAAAGTACCTTATAAAGTGGCTGATGTGTGTATAACTAAATATCAAATATGAGTTTTGCTGAATGCTTGTCTGGAAGTTTTTAACAGCTGCTTTTTAGTAAAAAACAAAACAAACAACAACCCTTAAGTTAAGCTAACAATGCTTAGAATTCTTTTGTATTCCAGTTTATTTCACTCTCCCCCTGAACTGTCTTGCAAGTATACACCTCACTGGACTCATCATAACTGAGCATCGAGTTGTGTTAAACAAACACATCTCCTTGTTCTTAAAGAGTCCTTACCTTTAGCAACCATCATCCTTCAGTGCTGAGTCACGTCCTCTAACAGTTTGCATATTTTTTTCCTTTGTCTTTTACTCTCAACAGCAACATCCTGATTTAATTTCCCAATGCAAATCTCTGTGCTGTTCTGTGCAATGCAGTTCTTAAGATTCTGCTACTTCTCAGTGTCAAGCTGACCCTACTGAATGGAAGACTTCATATTGTCTTACTCTGTCTCCATATAATCCTTCACATATAAAACCTGTTGCTGTGCCAGTTTTGTTTTATGACACAATATTCTCACATATATAACTTGTTTATATAAATACCAATAACAAAAACCTACAGACTGCTGTCATACAGAAATACAGAGCTGTGTTTCATGGTGAAGGTGAATGTTTTACTCTGGAAATTATAATAAAGGAGATGAAAGAAGATGCCGGAGACGTGTGAACTTAGTTGTATAATGCAGTGAAGACGAGTCGGTGTCACAATGAGACTGGGCCATGTGAACTCACCATCATGTTTGACAGAGGGGAGCCGGGGGAAGGCAGCTGCATTCATATACAAGTTTCGACATGACTTGGAAGACCACGGAGTGTGTACTTCATAGAGCTCAGTGAAATTAAATATAAAAATAACCCATTTAAAATCCTGTCTCTTTTTTCCCGTAAGACAAAAAAATGCCCCCTTCCCTGCAACTGCTATAAAAAAAATGATGTAGTAGTATTTTCTTTTTATTTATTTTTTGCCAAGAATCAAGTATTAATTCTCAGTGTCTCAGTGATCTCTTGTCTGCTGGTCACCTGTGCCTCAGTATTATTCCACAACTTAGACACTCACATTACTCACACTCTCATGAAACATACATATAGGGACTTGGGGGTGGGGACACTAAACGGCATCCAGGGGACGAAATGTTTATTCAGCCTCACCTCTGGTGTTGATGCCCACCTCTTAATTTTAAATCCATGTAGACACTGAGGGTTTTCAGGAGGGGCCGTGCTGACACCTACTGTTATCTGGGCTGTTGGCACCACGCCCCTCCCATGTTTTAGATGCACTTTAGAACAGCACTCAGCAACACCACATATGAGTGGGTGGAAAGAGGTATGGGGTCTTCACACTCCCATTCTCTGTTTGCCATATGGGGCAGGGGGCCAGGAGGAAGAGCTGGTTATCCCTGCAGCAGCAGGTTGGGCTTCCCTGCTGCTGCAGGACTGCCTGGTCTACTTATTTTCACTCCAGAGCGAAGAGGACCATCTCCTGGCTCTCGGGGTGGATTGCCTCTCTGGGGGTGCTGGTGCCTGGGAGTATAAAGTATGTATGGGGGAGTGTCAGTGTATCTACTGCATTCATTTCTGTCTGTCTACCAACAGACCCAGGGTCCAGTTCTGTCTGCTGAACTGGGCCCCCTGGGTCTGTTGGCTTCATGTCCTGGGGGGCAGGGCTTTGGCTTCCCACACTAGACGCTTACATGGAGAAACCTTATGAATAAAAGCGTGCTCACAGGTATACAAACAGGTACAGACAAACACGATCACTATCACTCACTATCTTGTATTATTAGTACCTAGTGCTATTCAGTAATGTTTATTATTTATTATTTACTGTTATTAATTCATATTTTGGTTGTTGCCTTGGTTTCTCTGCTGTGTTGTTTTCAGCAGTTGTTGAAGCTGATTCTCATTGTTTCTTCTCTCTCACACCATTATCCCCCATCAATAGCAAAACACACTTATTTTAGTAGCATGGCACTCTTGTAGCAAAAAAGTGTTACATTTTGCTTCATGCTCTGAACGGTAGCACCACCTGGTGGCCAAATATAAAAACTCAAACTTTAAGGTGAGTAGTCCTAAATAAAATTAAATGCTATTAAATGTGGGATCAAAAATGTCATTTTTAAGGTTTTTTATTTGGGCCTTTTTTGGCCTTTTGGTCATTTTAGGATAAAATGTGGCGGCTTCTCTGTAGCTTAGCCATTTGAAGCTAATTTCTGAAATTGAGACAAAAATTCTATTAAAAAAAAAAAAAATTATCTGGTAAATATGAACTCTATTCATTCAGCACAGCCAAAATTCCATGAACATAAAAAATGGCATGACATGGAAATTTGTGCCACTCCGTAAGAGTGCCCTGCTGACCACCACTATAGCAGTCATAATCCCTACATTTAAAGTCCCTACGCTCACCTCCACATTCCCATCTTTCCTTTTTAACATACCTTCCCTCACTCTCATCCTTTTCATAGATGTTATAGTAGGGACATGTTTAAATTACCAAACATTACAGAAAAATCATGTAAAGTTACCTGATAGTGATGGGTGACGTTTGTAGCTAAACAGGTCCTGTAGCAGCACCGTTTCCAAAACACTAGTTTTGGGAGTGTCACCTGTACCGAACTTTAGGTGTTGCATTATTAATTAGTTTTGCTTTGTGATCTATGGCTCCTTAAAAAAATCTTCAACACAGGACACTTTCATTTGTATAACAAATTGTTAGAAAATGCATACAAATTTAGTTTTGTCATCAAGGATGCTGAGAAGCAAATGTTTTCTTTCTTTTTTTTTCTAATTGTGTGGTTGTGGTTTGTTAACAGAATTAAATGTTGACAACAGGAAATTAGGGTGTCCTGATTGTTTAAGAGTTGTCACTGTGAAATTTTAAGTCTTAACATTTTATCATTTGTATGAAATAAACATAGTTACAGAGGACAAATAATTCCCAGTGGTTCTAATTAAGTAATTTTATGTATGAATTGATGAAGTGGTCTTATAGTAGCAGTAAATCTCAACTGTGTTAAAATATTTTTAAAATAAAATAAATGTAAATGTAAAGTTATAATCATGTGTTACAGCTGTTTGTAACATGTTTTTTTTAAAGAAAAAGCTAATATCTCAATGAGTGTAAATGTTTCGATGTTTCTATTCATAAAAACGCGTGATTTAACATTAAATCACATCTGAATCCTCAGTTTGTTCTTGACAGAATTTATGATACATGCAATAAGGATTGTCTGGAGATTGTTTTATCACTTTAACAATAAAGGTGTGTTAGCTATACAAAATATGCACATTAAACAAAATGCCATCAAAATTATGGGTAGACTGTTGTACTTTTAAAAACTTCATACTGTTAGAAACGTTTGCTTTTAGAGTGTGATTTTCCTTTTCTATAATTCAGTTATGTGTCCTGTATGTTCTCTCAACAATCTGTGGTCTCTGTGTTTTGTTTTCAGACATCAGATTAGCCGGGTCTGGATTGACTCAGTGCTCTGGCAGAGTAGAAATCTATCACAATAACATCTGGGGAACAATCTGTGATGATGGCTGGGACTTAAATGCTGCTGAGGTGGTTTGCAGACAGTTAAACTGTGGACCGGTACTGGAAGCTCATCAGAACGCTTACTTTGGTGAAGGAACTGGAGAAATATGGCTTGATGAAGTGACCTGTTCAGGCAGTGAAGACTTTCTGACTGACTGTCCCAACAGTGGATTTGGCAACCACGACTGTGACCATTCTGAGGACGCTAGTGTCATCTGTTCAGGTGAGATATATTCTTGGTCATTCACAAGATGTCAAATACTGTAAAGAAAACTTATTTATACATCAAACGATACAGACTTAAAATGTAAAGGACAAATGAGTTAAAACAGGTACAAACAGAAGGTTAAATAGTTTGTGTTAAATAGCCAAGAGCGGCAACTAACTTTAAATCTGTGACAAATCAATTACATGCATACAGTGGGGCAAAAAGGTATTAAGTCAGCCACCGATTGTGCAAGTTCCCCCACTTAAAATGATGACAGAGGTCAGTAATTTGCACCAGAGGTACACTTCAACTGTGAGAGACAGAATGTGAAAAAAAAATCCATGAATCCACATGGTAGGATTTGTAAAGAATTTATTCGTAAATTAGGGTGGAAAATAAGTATTTGGTCACCTCAAACAAGGAAAATCTCTGGCTCTCACAGACCTGTAACGTCTTCTGTAAGAAGCTTTTCTGTCCCCCACTCGTTACCTGTATGAATGGCACCTGTTTGAACTCATCATCTGTATAAAAGACACCTGTCCACAGCCTCAAACAGTCAGACTCCAAACTCCGCCATGGCCAAGACCAAAGAGCTTTCGAAGGACACCAGGAAAAGTATTGTAGACCTGCACCAGACTGGGAAGAGTGAATCTACAATAGGCAAGCAGCTTGGTGTGAAAAAATCAACTGTGGGAGCAATCATCAGAAAATGGAAGACATACAAGACCACTGATAATCTCCCTCGATCTGGGGCTCCACGCAAGATCTCATCCCGTGGGGTCAAAATGATCATGAGAACGGTGAGCAAAGATCCCAGAACCACACGGGGGGACCTGGTGAATGACCTGCAGAGAGCTGGGACCAAAGTAACAAAGGTCACCATCAGTAACACACTACAACGGCAGGGAATCAAATCCCGCAGTGCCAGACGTGTTCCGCTGCTGAAGCCAGTGCATGTCCAGGCCGTCTGAAGTTTGCCAGAGAGCACATGGATGATACAGCAGAGGATTGGGAGAATGTCATGTGGTCAGATGAAACCAAAGTAGAACTTTTTGGTATAAACTCAACTCGTCGTGTTTGGAGGAAGAAGAATACTGAGTTGCATCCCAAGAACACCATACCTACTGTGAAGCATGGGGGTGGAAACATCATGCTATGGGGCTGTTTTTCTGCCAAGGGGACAGGACGACTGATCCGTGTTAAGGACAGAATGAATGGGGCCATGTATCGTGAGATTTTGAGCCAAAACCTCCTTCCATCAGTGAGAACTTTGAAGATGAAACGAGGCTGGGTCTTCCAACATGACAATGATCCAAAACACACCGCCCGGGCAACAAAGGAGTGGCTCCGTAAGAAGCATTTGAAAGTCCTGGAGTGGCCTAGCCAGTCTCCAGACCTCAACCCCATAGAAAATCTGTGGCGGGAGTTGAAAGTCCGTGTTGCTCGGCGACAGCCCCAAAACATCACTGCTCTCGAGAAGATCTGCATGGAGGAATGGGCCAAAATACCAGCTACTGTGTGTGCAAACCTGGTAAAGACCTATAGTAAACGTTTGACCTCTGTTATTGCCAACAAGGTTAGGGGGGGGGGGGGGGGGGGTGGGGGGGTGTTACAAAGTATTGAGTTGTATTTTTGTTATTGACCAAATACTTATTTTCCACCCTGATTTACGAATAAATTCTTTACAAATCCTACCATGTGGATTCATGGATTTTTTTTTCACATTCTGTCTCTCACAGTTGAAGTGTACCTCTGGTGCAAATTACTGACCTCTGTCATCATTTTAGGTGGGGGAACTTGCACAATCGGTGGCTGACTAAATACTTTTTTGCCCCACTGTATATGTCTTCGGTGGAAACTCCTTGAGTCGTTAAAAGTAGCTGCAGTTATATTACAATATACTATAGTAGTGCAACCAACTATATAGAACAAGTGCAAAACAAAATGCACACACTTTATTGTTATTTTAAAATGACTGGTTGCTAGTTTTGAGTCTGAGGCATCCACATTTATGATCATCGCTGTTAGAACTCGAAGTGGCCGTGTTTTGGTGTTCATGATGATGATGGGAATGTTTACAGATATTAACTAAAATTAAAGAGGACTCCATAATATTACCAGCTCTGTCGGAAAGTAAAGTAAATAAGGTTTGTGAAGAATTGAGGAATTTTACGTTAAGAAACAGAGAGGGACTTCCGATGACGTCACCGTAGCAATCGTCGAGCTCTGAACTGCTCCTGCAAGAAACTTTAGCTAAATCCTTAAAATTAAGGAAAAACGCTCCAAAACACGAAAACGAAATACGCTATAGACCCACGATGCCTGGACCTGGTAAAACTACCAAGGAGAAGACTAAGTCAACCACGCAAACCAAGATATCGGTGTTTGGCGGTGAAGCTAGCGTCGTCCGAGGCCTGCGCAGCTAACAAGCCAGCCACCATGAGCGAACACGGCCCCGCAGGATAGTGGCAACATGGAGGAGAGGTTGCAGCGTGCCATACGAGAGGAGTTTGCAGGTATTGAAAACAAGCTTGCAAACGCGCAAACTGCACTTTGGGACAAGCTGGAGGGCGCAGTGGCCAAGTTTTCCAGCAAGGCAGATGAGGTTGTGGCAGCCATGAACGAAATGCAGAAAAAATTATCTGACTGTGTGGGGAGAGTAGAGCAAACGGAGAAACGCATTTCAAATGTTGAAGATGAACATGTGGTGATGGGGACCACCATTTCAAGATTAGAAAAGAAAATAAAGCACTGATGGATAAAGTAGTGGATTTGGAAACCAGATCCCGACGCAATAACCTCAGGTTGGTCGGAGTTCCAGAGGGAGAATGAGGGCGCGGACACCTGTGGATTCCTGGAAAACTGGATAACGGACGTATTGGAGTTGAACACGATCAAGGAGCCCTCTGGTTATCGAGAGAGCACATCGCATTGGCCCAACAAGAAAGCCTGAGGAACCTCCAAGAACATTAATAATGTGCTTTCTTAACTACAAACAGAAAGATATGGTGCTCAGAGCAGCAAGATCGAAAAAGGATATTTTGTACAAGAACAAAAGGGTGAGATTCTATGAGGACGTCGCCACAGAGGTGCACAAACAACAGAAGAAGTTTGGAGGGGTACGACAACAACTCTGGAAGATGGGACTGAGAAGTGGCATCGTACCACCAGCTAAACTGATAGTAACATACAAGGAACAAGTCCACAGATTTAGCACGCCAGAAGAAGTCCAAAGCTTCATAAAGCAGATCCAGGAGAGCAAGAAATGAGGAAGATATTATAGGGTCTAGAAATCTGGGGTAATGATTCATTTTGGAAAAGGATATAGTTAACTTCATCAAAGCAAAAGGTAACTAAGAGCAAAGTGGTTTTTTTTTTTTTTATCTACATGATAACTAGACAGACATAAAGATAATTTTTGACTTTTTATTTTATTCTACTCTTTTGTTCTTTACTTTTATTTTCATTTCATTTTCATTTATGTATCTAGTTTTATTTATTTATTTATTTATTTTTATATTTATTTATTTATTTTTTTTTGTTTAAAGAAAACAAAAAAGCAGTTAATTATTAAGGGGCAGTGGAATATTAGCGAAGCTAAAGGATTCATTAAGGATACAGGGAGCAAGGAAGAGCCAGGCATAAAGCCATAGTCATTTTAAGTTAGCAGATCTTAAAACTGGGATCTGTATATGGTTAACGTTGGAAGTAGAACATTTGCATGGGTTACCCAGGAACTGGGTGGGTGGGGTTTTTTGTGTTTTTTCTTTTGTACGGTTTGTTCATTTAAAGCTTGTGTTTTGTGTTCTGTTTTGTTCGCACTCTCAGACAAGTTTAAGTATTTAGCAATGCATGTGAGGCGTGTTGGCTCGGAAATTGGAAGTTAAATGTACCTCTTGGAATTGTAGAGGCCTAAAAAGTAATAAAAAGATTAAGCAAGTAATGAACAAAATGAAAGATCTGGAAGCAAAAATAATTTTTCTTCAGGAGACGCACTCGCTGGAGGAGGAACATATTAAGGTTGGCAGGAGGTGGCAGGGTTCGTTGTATGCAGCACCATTTAGATCCAATGCTCGGGGAGTAATCACATTAATAAATAAATCAGTTCAGTTACACTTCCTGTAAACCACACTCTGTGACATGGGGTTACCGAGAGAAGCTTGTGGACAAAGCCACAAACATCTATGTGCTGTTTCTCATGGGTTCATAAGCTCTCAGGTGTGAAATACAGTTTAAAGTGTATTTTCTTTTGTGTGTGTGTGTGGGGGCGGGGGGGGAGGTCTGTATCAAGAAAATCCTATGGCCTTGTTTAAAAAATTAAAATTTTTATATTTACTGTATACTTAAAGTAAAATCATTTCTAGCTGACGTTCCTAAAATGTAAATGGACCTAAGAGCAGACCACAGCAACCTCCTAGATGAAGAACTACTCAGCAACACAAAGGCAGACAAGCAATGGGTCTCTGTTATGAAGAGCTGGACCAGGACCTGGCATAACTCACACCTACTGGCTGAAGATGCTAGTAGCCCTCCATGAATACCTGACAGCACATATCAGGGTTTTGCTAACAACAGGTACTAATTTAGGAGTGGAGTGGCCATCAGCCACTTCCCTGGGTCTGTGTGGCTTCTCTGGGTACTCAGGCTTCTTCCCTCCAACCAAAGACATGCACAGCATTAGGTTAATTAGTGATTTTAAACTGACCATAGGTGTGTATGGTTGTCTGTCTCTATGTGTTTACCCTGCGCCCTTTTTCTAGTTGCTGGACAGTTCAAAAACCCCTGTGACAAGAAAATTTTTTTTTTTTTTTTCTTCCCCTTTTCCCCTTTTTTTTTTTTTTTT